AATTCGTTGAAAGACAGTTATGTTTATTCTTAGAAAATTTGTTTTTGTGCTTAATTTCGTAACTTAAAATATCGCTTGCACTCATTAATTAGACTATTTGAATTCACCCCTTTGAACCATTAATATATTGAGTCCTAGAACGTGATAATTCGATCATTACATCGAAAGTTATTCACATCAAATATTTCTTTTAAATTTTCACGACATTTTCTTTTAGAACTATGTTTAATGTAGTTTTCAGGTCTATATGGTTTTAGAACTAAAAAGTTTTTAATCTATTTGTAAATGGCCACAGGCTAATGGTGAAAGCAGTTGTAGTATTGCCATAGGAAGAGAGTTCTACTCTACGCCACCTACAGCCCATTTTGATTGCCAATTGTGACGTTTATTGAATTGTTACCGTTCAATATTTAAGCCATTAGAAGCAGCTATATACAGTAAAAACAGTTTACGTTGTCTAACCTGTGATTGGATGAAAAATACCAGTTAAAGTGATGTCTTTAGTAAGAAAATAACCAATCCAAAATCAAAAAATGCAATGTTTGGGAATAGTGTATCATGTATTTTGCATTTAACGTAACTCGTAATAAATATTATTGTATTTTCGTAACTTGAATTGTTTCGGTATCATTGCTGTTTGTTATTATTATTTTCAATATGAAAAAGGAGTTTGAATTTGTGTGACATTAAATCGGATCTTTACCTTTGCTACATTACACGTTTTCGTTTTGTATTATGCTTAAATCCACAGTGCTTTAAACGTATATGCTTTCTTATATTTTCGGAAAATGGATTATATCAACAGTACTTTCCAATGAATTTTATAACAGACCTTTATTTTCAATAAGAAGACAATTGTCTTAGTGTCCTATCTAATTTCATCATGAAAGAAGAAGCTGGGTAAGCTATGTTTAACTTCACTGTAAATGTAAACAAACCTAGTTCTCTTAATGATTATAACGACATTGAGTAAGTGAATTTATAGTTTTGTGATTCATTAACTTTAAATAATGTTTGGAAATTAACTTAATATTTGTTAAATATGAAGCTTTCTTACGTAGATAAAATATTTAAATATATATTTTATCATGTGATGCAACTAAATATACGATTGCTTGCATTTTGAATGATGCTTTATATGAGTTGTTTTTTGATAATGTTATTCATATAATAGCTTACAAGTAGTTTCCTCTGGACATTTCCTAAAAAATAATTTAATTGTGACATACCTACTTGTTTAAATTCATGCTGATATTTTTATAAGGATTGCATAGGTTGGACAATTTTTTAAAAATATATGTTCTGGAAACATACACAAAAATTCCTTTATATCCAGATTAATACATAATTGAACTGTGTTTAGAACTTCTTTGGATTTAAATATTCAAAATATTTCCTATTTAAATGAAAAGTTTAAGTTTATTTATATTTTTTGGAAATCATTTTAATTGCTTACATTAGCTGAGGGCCATCTTAATGGCGTACAGGGCCCCCAGGGCACAGGTCATATACTGTTTAAAATTGAGCTACTATAAATTCACATATATGAAATTAGTAAGTTATATGATATATATGAGTTTAAAAAAACATAGAAATTGTAACCATTTTCTTTTTAACATTCGTGAAGCATTTTTAGAGAAATGAGCTAAACTGAAACTATTTAAAATTAATTTGTTTTCCAGAGATATTTTTCAGGATTGCTATATGTAAACATTTAAAAATTACGTATTTATGTTTATTTAGAGCTGTGTTCTTCCTAAGCGTTTTTTTAATTGCAGCCTGCACTGCCTGCCCTATGATCCCAATAAATGTGCCCTCTTTTCCCTTTTTGTAAAATATAAGCTGCCACCCCTTGAAAACACTGCCTTTTTATTCATATTCTATTTTGAAAAAAATTCAGCGTTTAAATAATCATTCCATACTGGCAATATTATCTGTGTTTATAAGTTAAATTCTAATTAATATTACAAATATTTACTTTATTAGGATTATTCTCAACTGGTTAAACTAAAGTGGTTACTGGTTAAGATATTAATAAATTTTTTAAGTGATTTTATATATTATAACTTTTTTAAACAAATACCCTTTTTTTTAAAAAATAAATATGCACCTTTAATTTCAGTTTAAATTTCAGTTTAAATTATGGAGAAAAGTTTCCAAGTTACGTTAGTTTTTGTTAATAATTTTTTGTTAGTTTACTTGAATTACTAAAATTGCCCAGATTGTGTTTTAGCATGTCTTTAATTATCTTTATATACTAAAATTTTTTCTCTTGTTTTGATAATGAGCGAAACATTTTAAATCTATGCATAATATAGTATAAGAGCATAATTTAAAAATTTTTGAAAATAAACTTCATCATTACGTAATTTTACACATTTTGATAAATTTTTACTGTGCAAAGTGAGCTATTTATTGTTAATTTTTTTTTGTTGTTGAAATATTACTTTTAGGGGTTTACTGATTATTTTTGTCATTCCAATTTCTGTTCATAATCATGTAGTATACAGGTGCACCAAAGTCAAAATACTGCATCTGCCTTTTTACTCCCAATTCATCTTTCAACAACCTAAAATCTAACAGCTCTTCTATAAGAAGTTTCTTTTAATCAATTAATCTTATTTAATAAAATACAAAGTTAGCTACATCAGAAACCATATGAAACAAACTGTCAATTGAAAGGGATAGAAAAAGTCATTAAAGAATGTCATATCAGGCAATAATGAAAAAATGAAATCCTTGCATTTAAATGGGTTGAAAAAAATTTAAGATTGAATTTTATTGTGCTTAAATTTAGCCTATTTAAAGATTCTTTATATGAAATCCATTACCATACATCTTGTTAAATATTTAATTAAAAAATAAACAAAAGTTATTAAAAATAACTGTTTTTATGCTCATTATGCGGATGCATTTCCAGGAAGCAGGTGTGGATGGGGTATTAAATAATAAATAGGTGGTAGTGAATAATGGTAATTTGTTTTTGGTAGCCACTTTATTTTACTTAGTCGCCACATGACAATTGCCTTTAGATGTCAGGCGGACTAAACTCAACTTTATCTGACTGTGACACGCAGTAGGAGAAAGAGGCTTTGCATATTTAAATTGTGATGTAAACATTAAATATTTATTATGTTAATATATTTAATGTATAAAAAGTCACAAATATTTATAAAAAAGGAAACATACATTGAAAACAAAAAATAGCGAAACAAGCAATTACAAAAATAAGGAATTTTTAATGTCACTCTTAACATTTTTCTCAAATGAGCAATAAACGGAATCCAGATTCATCAAAATAAGAATGGGGACCACAATATGCAAAGAATAGTTTTGTCAGAAGATCAGGCGAAAGCTTGGGCCTATAATTATTAATTTTATTTTTCAGCCTATATTCCCATATCTTGAAGTGACTGGAAAATTTTTTCATACCGTTATTAAATTCCTTTTCGCAAAGATAATTAATTCCACATAATAATTTTTAATAATTATTTATAGCATTTTATTGTTTATTTGATAATAGTCGAAAAATTAAGAATTGTTAGGCATGCAATTTTTTATATAATTTTAAGGTAGTTATAGTAAGTTATAAAATTTTAAACTTTAATGGAATCGGTCGAATAGTTAACAAGAAATGAAATTTTAAATATAAAACTTTTTTTTTTCTTCTCAAAAATACAACACACTGGTGTATGACTTTAGCTGACGATTAAAAGGTTGCCTAGTTATAATTTCTTTTCTTTTTTTCTTTGTGTGTCAGACATAATTTGCTTTACCTCATAATTTGCCTATTCAGCATGTGATTCATATTCATACAATTTTAAAATTAATTATTGGGATTTATAATCAAATAGTTTACAAGTTTAAAAATCGCACTTTTTTGTCAAATTTTTGTGTATGTATGTATATATATATATATACAGTGAAACCTGTTACGAACACTCCTGCAAAACGGACACCTCTCAATAGGACATATTTTTAATTCTCCGTGAATCTTCTATGAATAAACCATTATGTACATTCTCCACAAAGCGGACACTACCGTAACCCAACGCGGACAGTCATTTTGGTCCTGAAACATTATTTTCTATCTCTTCCAACAGGACACTACTTTTTCTAAATTTGAAAAAATTCTGCTTTAAATTGCAAAGGAAAAAATTGCAACTTTTCACTATTTTTAAAACATGTAAATTTTTTACCTTATCCATAACTAAAAATATTGTTAAGCTATTTCACTCCTGAAGAATCAATCTATCTCCTGTCATCTTGCCTTATCCCTGTAAAGAAAGGGGAAAGAATGATACTGCTCTCCTTAAATAATTCGAACAGCGGCATCTTTTGATTTTTTCATCTGGACCACACAGGTTATGAGACCCCTGTAGTTGAAATGACATCTTAAATGCTCTCAATGCTTCTTCCCCATTGCAAATTTAATTTTCTTATAAATTTGAAGACTGTATTTAACACAGCTGGGGTAAAAAAGAGAACAGAAATATAATCTTTGATGTGTTCATATAAATGAAACACTTATTTAGACACTTGATAGCTGATCAATTGTGAATAATCAACTCCATAGGTCCTAATGACTTGACTGTGAAAATGATAGGTAGGTGTAAGGGGATGTAAACCTAATAATTGAAACTGACTGAGGACTGAAAGCTCCTATTCGGTATCATATGTCTGACTTGAGTATCTATGCCAATAAGAAAATTATATTTATTTATTTGTAGCTATATCTAGAATTATGTATTTATATCATACTTCTTTATAATTTCATCGTTCTTAAAGTTTAAATAAATATCCTTGTAGATAGTTATTGTAAATTATTTAATTATTTCTACATCTTTGAAAGTATTCTAAGAACAATTTACAGTGTTAAACTTCGTTATGTTACCCTTCCGGTAAGCGGACAACTCTCATAAACGAAAAAAATTTTCGGTCCCAAGAATGTTCGCTTTATGGAGGTTTTACTGTATTCAGGGTTGGCAAGATTTTGCCGCAGGTGGAAAAAACCATGGCAAATACCGGTAAAAACCGTCCTGGCAAAAACAGGTTTTTGCCAAGCAAATGGGCAAAAAGTGGCAAAAACCTATATTTTCCAAGATGAGAGGACAAAAACACATTTTTGATACAAAATTATTCCTAAAATTGAAATATATACTATAAATATAAATAATTACAAAAAAATTAACAAAATTATTATTCCATAATTAAATGATAATGTAATAATATATCATTTTAGTAGTTTAAAACATTATTGATTGGAAAATTTGTGATTATTCTTTTTTTTCCAGTGAAATGAACTTATTTTAAATTAATATAACTATAATTTTAAGCATAAAATATCTATCAAGATGTGTAGTTAATTATTGTACAAATAATAATTTTTTATAATAAATAATAATAATAGTATTATACAAATAATAATATTTATTTGTAAAAAAACATTTATTTAAGGATTCTAAAATGAAAAGAGGTCTAAAACTTTCAATCTTTTAAAAATTATTGCCTTTATACCTATTAATTATTAATATGTTAAAAATAATTTTTTCATGTATTGTCAGGGGTCTGTCCAGGCCGAATTTACTACCGTTTAGCGGTACGTTCACAAATTCAATTTTAGGAAAAACGATAGTTTCACAAATTTATCTTTAGGAAAAACGGTAGTTTCACATAATACTTTTTCATAAAATTTTATTTTTGTATCCTTTAAGAAATGATAAATCTATATTTTTACCATGTTTTTGTGTTGATTTTTTAATATAATTTTTAATTTTTCACAAATTATGTCTAAATTTTCGAAAAATAGGTACCTCTCAGAGAAATCTAGACAGACCCCTGATTGTATCAAAATTATTATTCCTTAGGATTGATTTAAATTTGTTTCAAGTATTTTGTAATAATATTTAATCAGCAATTTAGATAATTTGGTTTTTGCCGGTTCTTACCAGTTTTTGCCACTGTCCTGGCAAAAAACCCTTTTGGCCGGCAAAAACTCCAACCCTGGCTGTATTGTATATTCATTCTTGGATTTCCTCTTTTTAACTTTTTGACTACTCTCATCCCTGTACCTTAACAGCTCCCTCAACAAAAAAAGAAAAATTTCACACTAGGGGTATGCTAATAATTTTCAGCTTGTTTATAATTTTTGTATCCTTACCATTAATTTTTTGACAATGATTTGGAAACTCCTTATAATTGTAGACTTCTCGTTATATGCCGTATTTATTACATTGGGCTTTACTGTATATATTTTTTAATATTAACAAAGCCAATATTTTAATTAAAGAAATGATAATGTAAGATATCTAATGTTCAATTCTTGGAGTAATTTATTACATACTTTTATTCTTCAAGATTGAGAGTTATCTCTGTTTACAGACTACTAAGCATTTTATACTTACTAGAAATCAGATAAGAAAAAAGTTTAACTGAAAACTTTGACTGTGAAGAAAAGTGTTCCATTAGAGGTGAGGTAGGTTTTCTACCCATGGGACATCAGAACACTGAACTCTTTCAATTTCTGCCTTTGGAGCAAAACAGAATCAAAGAGAATGGAATGATAGGTTAGGCTAGATTATATTTAATAACACATATTATCGTGTCACTGATAAAAAAAAAAAAAAAAATAGCTCAGCAATTTGTTTTTGTTACTTAATTTTTGACTTTTTTGTGTTGAATGATATTTTCTTAGCTCTTTGTATAAATGTACTCTTTTATCAATTTAGTTAATTAGTTATTAATTTTTGAAAAAAATATTTTTAGAGCAAACGCTAAGGCTCGGAGGATTACAGCCAAGATGAGAGCAGAATGGGCTCGGGAGTTAGATGAAGTTGGTCAGCTCTTTTGTCCTATGATAGGTTGTTTCAAGAAGTTTGTAACCGTTGCCAACTTTCAAACTCATTATAAGTGGTGTACTGGAGTAAGTGGTATTTTTTTATAAAATGATATAAATATATGTATATTTTAACTTGCATTATTGTGTTTCTTTCATATCATTTTTTCACAACGATATACTATGCTTAAATGTTCAGTGCAAAAAAAGGGGGCAACCCTAACCATCGGATCTTCTCGTTCTAGGACTCAATTGTAATGGTTCGAGGGGGTGACACTAAATATGTTAATTGACAAGTGCAGATAATATTTTTAGTTACAAAATCAGACTCAAAAACATAATTTCTCCGAATAAACATAGCTTTTTTTTTTAACTGATTCGGATTTTTAACCCCTGAAGTATGAAGGGTAACATCAACCTGGGAAGTATGGTCTCTATAGTTTGGTCAAGAGAGCGATCCAGAGTTTAGACCCCTTTACATTAATTTTATTTTTTGTATACTTTGTTATATCTCCAGAATTTTTGAAGGAAATTTTAAAAAAATTTGCGCACAATTATGAAAATTGTTTATCCAGAGGTAATTTCATGCAGAAAAAAAAATTTTTTTGTGAATTTTTTTAACTTTATTTAAGTACTAGTCAAAAAAAATTTTGAATTGTGAGCTATATTATATGTTTTTTACATTTTAAAGTATCTAAATTTACATGGCAAAATACAGAATTTTGAGCGAAGTGGGTTGAAAAGTTTTATATTTAAAATTTGATTTCTCAGAAACTGATTAACTGATTGTAAACTGATTGTAAAATTATTTACTTTAAAGTTATGTAAAATTTTTTATTCCTAACAGTTTGATATTTTTTTGATTATTATTAAATAAAACAATAACGAATAAAGTATTTCATGAAATTTATTTTTTTGCATGAAATTATATTTGGATAAAAGAGTTTCATAATTGTGTGCATAAGTTTTTTAATTTGCTTCAAAAGTTCTCGAGATTGGGAAAATACGCAGAAAAGTTAAATTAGCATTAACGGGTTCATACTTTGAAGTTTGCTCCTGACCAAACTATTGGAATCATATTTCCCAGATTGTGGCTACCCCTACCTATATTTTGGGGCTCAAGAATCCGAATCTTTTGGGAAAAAAAGGTATGTTTATTCAGAAAAAGTACATTTTTGTGTCAGATTTCTTAATATAACATATCGGCATTGTGATTCATAATTTGAAATTTGTGTATTTTTGGTCACCCTTTCAAGTCATTGTGATTGAGTCCTAGAACGTGAAAATCAAGTTCAAAAGTTATTCAGGGTGGTCCATTTTGTTGGCACACTGCACATAAATTATGCTGATCCTGTGCAAAAGTTACACAAAATGGAAAGTAGCACAGAAAAACATCATATATTTGTTTAAGAGTTTTCAACAAAAAAGATATTTTATTCTGATATATGGTTTTTGCAGTTATTGTTTCACTTGCATGAGAACTAAGGTAGGTAGTGGTAATGTTTGTAGAAGACAATGTTCTGCAGTAATGTTTATAACATCACAAATTTGTTTTTGACACTGCAGGGATAAAAACTGCATTTTTTTCAGTGAAAGCATAAAAAATCTACCTTTTTCTTTGTTTTGTGTTATGGTGCAACAAGCAGTAACCTAACACATCACAAAGAAAAAGGTAAATTTTTTATGATTTTTGCTAGAAAAAATGCAGTTTTTATCCCTGCAGTGTCAAAAACCTGATTTTATAAATATTACTGCAGAATGTTGTCTTCTGCAAACATTATCACTACGTACCTTAGTTCTCATGTAAGTGAAACAATTTTGGTATTATGTACGTATATATTTACATAATTGTCTTAATGTACTATCAAATAGAGAAAGTTAAAAGTTGTGATTTGCAAGGAAACTGAAAATCAAAATTTTGTACTTTGTAAAATATTAAAAATATATAATAAAATTGTGTCCCATGCAAATTTTATTTTGGTATTGATATTCATTGTGCATCTATATTTTTTACAATACACTTGGATACCTGTATGTAATCTTGAGATTTTCACTCAAAATTTGTAACTAAAGAAAATTGATGAGCCACTGCTGTTTTATCTATTTTAGTAACTTTTTAATTGAAAACTCACATTAATGAGGAACGACAATTGTATTCTAAATTGCATTTTTAGTGATCAAGGATATTGTGTCAAAGCGTGCTATAGTAAGTCACTAGTTTTGCATATTTTTTGTTACATGGCCTTAAAAATACATTATCCCATTTTTATAAATATTATTTAGTCATTTTTTGTCAAATATCTTTTATAACTTTTTTCATTTTAATGTTTTACTTTTTATTTAAATTTTAATTAGTTTAAATGAAAAAAAAATCTTTGCCATAAAGATCTGGGCTTTTGACATGAAGAAAATATTTTGTGGTAAAAACTATCATTTGTCAAAAACTTGCCAACCCTGCTTCAAATCTAGATTATAAACCTATAAAAACATCATGATGAAAAAATTTTAAATCAAATTTTTTTTTTTATTTTTTGATATTTTTTAGTTAGAAGATATCCAGCATTTCCAAATATACTTTATTTCCATTAATAAAAATGCTAATAATTTTTTTTTTTAAGTGAATTAAATACTACAATAAAACCTATCTGGTATGTGCAGGAACTAGCAAGCTTTTAGATTATTGTTATTATTATTGTTATTATTGTATTGTTTTTTATTATTGTTATTATTAGATAATGGATTGTTGAAGAAAAATATATTTTTTAATTTTATTTTGCTTTCTAAAATCTTTAATGGTGAACTCAATTTTCATTATCTTAGAGAAAATATTTACTCTTAAGTTAAAAGAAAATTAATTTTCATTTCGATAGAGGGGAATAGTGATGATTCACTGTTTTATATCATGAGAGTAGAGTCTTCTTCAGTATTACTTTATTTTTACTCTTATATGAATTGGTAACTTTTTTAGCGATTATTTTATTTTTTCCTTCAATATATCATCTGGAAAAAGCATGTAAGTAAATTAATTACCCTTTTTCAATTTCTACCCTATGCCCAATTAATGTATATATATGTACAGGGGTTGAGCAAAATAATAGAAAGACTTCTATACTAACACATTTGTTGATTTTTCTTTAAAAATACTTTGAGAATCATTTAATAAATTTAGAATTGTTTAGGTTATTCCTGACAAATATGAAAAAAATTTAAAACTTTTAAATGTTTGAGAGACAGATAATAAATTACAAATGGAAAACATTTATTTTTGAATATCCTATGCCAAAAAAAATGTAGCATTAAGTTTATTAGAACTTTTGACAGTTATTTTTGTTATTATATGCAATAAGTGCACGAAATTTCATCAACCTAGTTTAAATGTTAATGGAGATATGGACATTTTTATAATAGCTAATTTTTTGTCTTAACTTTTTTTGCTATAACTTAAAGATATTTTTAAAAATTAAACAAAATTTTTATAGCAATTTAAAATTATTTACAAAATTTTTGCTTTAAAATTTGGAAGGAAAAGAAAAAAGCAAAAACTGTGCAATGCATTAGTACAACTGATAATACAACTTTTAACCTAAACAAATTTTCTATACCCTTTAGCTTACTAGATTTTGCTGTTTATAATATATGTTATATCTTAAATTTCAGTTACTGCTATAAATCGTTTGAATTGCGTTGTGTAAAAAAATTTAGTTTTAATTTCTTGGGAAGAAAAATATTTATGCGAATTATTAAAATTTATTTGAATAATTTTATAATTTTAATTATAATTTTATAATTTATAATTTTAGAACCTGATTCAGAGCCTGTTAAGTAAATATAATTACTAAACATAAATCGTTTTAAGAATCAATAAAAAATCTTTAATACTAAAATTTTATACCTAGAAAACAATGTTTAGTTTTCAACATTACCTTTCTATTCAATAATAGTCATAATTAATGCAACCTTATAATTAAGTCATATTCAATACATTAGTATGTTACTTTTTACCAAATAAAAACCAGATGATAAATCATTAACACATTGTTTTACAAAAGATATATAAAAACAAAAATAGTTAAATAATACCTGGAGTGGAGAGAATTGAAAAAGAAAAGAAAAGGTGCACAATGAAAAAAAAAGGTGATAATTACTTATCACGTTCTCATTGCTTATCAGATCAATTAAGAAAAATTATTATTGATAAAAATCTTGAATTGACAAAATAGTTATTAAAGAAAAAAATTAATTAATGAAGAAACACTTAGCGTTTTACTGACATCTGAATTCTCGGGTGGATGCACCGCTTAGAACCTTCAGCATCTTCTCTATCATCTTTCGCTTCGGGCAGCTGGGAAAGAAAGAAAAAAATCTTCTCTGCACATGGTAGATGATGCTGTCTACTAATTGTTGTTGATTGGTCTAACATAGGGGTACACAACCTAAGGCCCGCGTTCCAAATGCGGCCCTTCAACTACTGAAGTGCGGCCCGCGAGAGCTTCTAAACACAATAAGAATTTTTTAAAAAAAGGCAATTTTTAATCGCACTTTTAAGTCAATCAATTTTAACAGATACTTTAGTAAATGTACGTTTAATGCGCTTTCTTTAAGCCGATTTTATAGTAAATATAAATGATTTTTTTTAAACAGTTATTTCCGCTTTTCTGCGTGATTTCAAAAATCCGGAATATTTATTACGACGTGAGTTTCAGATCGCAAATTTAAATAATCACTTTTCGTGCACTTTATTTGTGATGATTTCATCTTAAATCTAAGTGATTTTTTATCTTTTTTTTCTGCAATTCTTTCTTTTTTTTTTCAAAAATTTTTTCGGCAGTTATTGCTGTGCATTACCACGTATTATATAAAAAATTCCAATTATTCTATTACAACATGCAAATTTTATATCATGCATTTGACACGCTTTATTCGTGCTGAGTTCAGCATAAATATATTTTTTTCCAATTATTTCTATACTTTTCCACATGATTTTGACGATCCCGTTATTTAACTATGATGTTATTACGACACGTGATTGTTAATTGTGCAATTAAATAATCACTTTTTGATACGGTATTTCGGTACAGTTTTATCATAAATCCTAGTTATTTTTCCTTCGTTTTTATTTCCGCAACGAATATTATTTGGTCAAATGTGGTAATTTATTGTGATTTGGTCAAAAACCAAATATTCGGCAAAAAAAAAGAAGAAAAAATCGACTGAACGCCGTACACTTGGGGCCAAATAGCAAATTCTTTTTCTGCTACTAAATGCTGAAACTAAGATTTTAATGCTCAGAATAATATTTCCTGGAAAAACGTATTCATAAATTAACTCTAAAAAGAACGTTTTTGCCAATCAAGGCGAATCAAGAACGTTTTTGAAAATGTCGAAAAGCGAAACAGAGAACATAAAAATCAATCTTAATTTTTGAAAAATTTTTTTAAAGCTGAACATCTCAGTTTTTCAATTACCAGAAAAAGCCAAGAAAAAAGAATTAAGTCAACAGAAATGCTATTAAAAATTACTGCG